AGTTAGGGGAGGGGTGGGTGGGCAGTTGCCCAGATACTGATATTGATCCAAAAATTTTTTATAATCATTAAGAATTTTGTTTCAGGTAAAAATATATGACACTTAAAATTCAAGATTATTTCATTTCCTACAATATAACACGTGTAAGCTTGTAAAAAACATTTGCTAAAAATTCAAATATTACTGCTATTAATATTAGCTTAAAACACTCAAGATTACTCTTCTGAAATAACCTTGACTAGAAAGTGTTCATATGCTGCCATGAATCCATCTGGATCTTCCCAGTGTGGGTAATGTCCAATATTCTTCGACATTGTTGAAAATGTCCCTTTAACAACAAGTTCCCTGGAAAAAAAAATTTTTTTTAATGAAATTGCTCTGAGTAGAAAGATTGGTTCTTTACTTAACTAATGAGCTGAACATTCACCATCCTTCTTATTTGATGTTCTAAAATTATTCAAAAAGCAGACTAGACTTAAAAAAAAAAACAAATCACAGGTTAATGGAAGCAACACCCTAGACAAACAACCCTCTAAACAGTCTTCCTTACAATATCACCCTGAACCCTTTGCTTCCCAAGACTGACTTACATCTAATTTCTCCTTACAATATCCCCCCTGAATCAAACATTAAGGTCACAAGAGTAAAGGAAATGATCTTGATTGTTAAACAAATTCTCCTTGTCAGCACCTGAGGAAATCTGTAGAGAACAGTATGGAGAATGTGCATACTGATGTTAGGGTGTAGAGAGTTAAATCAAACACTGACTTTCATGAGAATACACAAATTGATCACCAACATAAGCAGCTCTTGACTGTCAAATTCTCCTTGTCAGTAATATAGGAAATGTATAAAGAACAGTGTGGAGAATATACATACTGATGTTTGGGTGTGAAGGGTTTATGCGACTAAAACCAAAACATAGCTTTAGCAGTTTAAGCATTTACTCTCACAAGACAATTATTAATAGAATATTTAATTTACTGACATAATACAAATATTAAAATTATTTACCTGTATTTGACAAGTGTTTGAGGAGGATTGATTGGATCTGCAGGTCCATAAATAAAATGCACTAAAAAATAGACAAGGGAAAAACAAGTAATACAAATTTTTTCTTGTATAACAAATGCATTTTAAAATACTAAAATTCAGAGTCATGTAATTATGCCTGTGATTGGTTGGATCTGAACAAGTTGAAGTCTACATGACTGTATTTCAGTCCTGCCCTCTCATTGGTTTTCATTATTTTGTGGCCCTGTTCTCCACAGATGCATTGTAAGTTGAAAACAAGGTACAGTTTTCCATTACCTGGCACTGTTGTGGTTTGCATGATACCAACCCATCTTGCTCTGTTTTCCTTCCTCTGATTTATGTACTGAAGAATGCTGAAAATAATATTGGAGAGCAAAAGATAAAGAAAGCTGCATGCAAATGTAAACTTTACTCCTCTAAATCCACCAAGTAGTTTCTTTTGCCCCATGCGCTAACTGTTTGCCCTAAAAATATTTGATGAACATTTCAGACATCAGTATTAAATACTCTGTTCTGATCTGAATAATAATATTTTAAAGCCAGAAAATATTTTAAAACAAATCTTCACTACAATCCTGGTCTAAACTTGTTAGGACACCTTCAATATTAATCCTCTAATAATACTGTGGCTATGAAATATGTTCTTTATCTGTTGAAAAACTCACTTGTATTTGAGTGTTCTTGCCCCTCCCCACGTGCACATACCACCTCCCAAGCAATACTGAAACCAACTGCGGCTTTTCTTAGTGTCTCCAGGATTCTAATAAATATTGGAAAGGGGTAGGGGTGCTGTTGCCTACACCATTTTTAAACACCTTCATTTCTAATCGTTTTGCATTAGGTGTTCCAAGAATTCTATTTGAGATTGTAAGTCAGTTGGAATGAAGGTATGTTAATGCGCTTTGGTCGGGCAATTAGCCAGATTTCACCTAGAGTTCTCATTTGCTTCTTGCAGTAGGGTAATAGAAGGAATAACTGATCAGAAGACAGTCTCCACAAAATACAGCTTGGGTTTGAAGACTTTCTCGTTGAAATATTCTCTTGAGTATTTGGATCCATTTACAATTTATGTTGATGGGACAGATGTCTCTAAAGAGACTGAAAGTTCCAGCTGAGCTTACCTGGGTACTACAAGGTAACCATCTTTGTGTCTCATGATGGTCCAGAAATCTTCTAGCTCTTCTCTAGGAGGCCGTGTACCAGGACCAAACACTGAGGCAAGACTGGAAAAAATTATTTGATGGTTTTATCAATTGAGTTGATAAATTGTAAATTGGCCTGTGGAAAGATTCTCAAGCTGACATTCCAAGCACTAGCCCTTTGCCTGCTCGAAATGTCAGCTACAGAATCTCTATGGTGGTAAGTGAAAACCTCCTTACATCCAATGGGTACTGGTTTGATTCCATTAAGTTTAGGTTAAGAAAACTTAAATTATATTGAATTGGAAGTAGAAGCTAACTAGTAGTAGTGTGTACCTTCTCGCAAAGATTGGGTAGCTTGTTAGTCTTGAAATGAGAGGTCCAAACCATGGATTTGACCCTAACTGCAACGATACATTCAAAACATGAACAAGTATCTTATACCACTAAAAGTACTTCAATTGTAATGATACTTAGTTTAATAACAAAAAATTCAAGCAAAACAGTACCTTCTGAATCACTTTAGGGAAGTTTGTGTCAGGAAATATACCTTAAAAAAACCAAGAAGAGATTTAATAAATAGTTAAGCATTGATAATAAAATTAACTTTTTCTATTAGAAAAGTAAAAGTTATCATCATTGTGCTGATACTCATACAAATCACAATAAAAAATTTACTTTCGGAACCTAGTAACAATATGTGTAATAACTTCTTTGTATTGAATCAATAAAACTCCTCACAATCCATTGACTTTTAACCATGAAATTATAATTTCTCATCACCTCATCTAAAGGTAATCTTGAATCTAAAATTTTAAATATTGGGATTTCCCAGGAGTTCCTAGCTTGTTTAATTGTATTCTGTTTTTAAAATCTTCATACTTCATATTTTTTTCAAAGCGCATTTCTAGATATCAGTATGAGACATCAAGTGACAATAAGAAGCTGTTTACCTCCATTAGTTAAACAAAGGGATTCTATTTTGACATACTCTGTTGGATCCAACCCTTTCTTTTTCCTTTCCTCATATCTGTATAACAAAAGAGAACAAGATTTTCAAAGAATCCAGGATATAATCATTGAAACAAAATTTCAAGAACAATTTTCTTATATATAGAACTTGAAAAAGAAAATTTTTAGTGTGTTCATGCTTGCACAAGTAGAGCAAGTGACCAAGACAGAATTTCTCCTTACAATATCAATGAAATATCATGGAGACCAGTAATGAGAATATAGAAAAGCATCAATTAGGAGATTAGTATGTGATCCAATATCAAATTCTCCATACACACATCATAAGAATTGAATGGCAGATGTAAGGAGAATTACTGATGAGATCTTGGGAGCAATAGGGTTGATGACGTGGTCCTACTAAGTACCATCACTAAGAATCTTGGGAAAATTATTCTTAGTAGCCCTTTTGAGTTCAGAGTGTATATTCTCCATACTGTTCTCCAAATATTTGTGAGGTGCTGACAAGGAGCTGACAAGGAGAATTAGTTTAACAATCAAGAGCCTTCTTAGTTGATGATGATTTCCTTTACTCTGGTCACCTGAATGTTTGATTCAAGGATAACAATGTGTGGAAAAATTGGAAGCCAATCACTCTTTGGATTGGAAGGGTCAATACACTTTGTACCATTTTCAAAGCTTTAGCTTGCAGACTGTCTTATTAAGTAAACTCCAGAATAGTGCAGTCTCATGCAAGTTATATGCAAGTTAGGAATTAAATACATAAAAAGGTTATAAAGTGCAATCTAAAGTAAAAAATCATAATAATACAACTATCCATACCTTGCTAACATCTCAAGAGCCACTGTATCTCCCAAGTCATGGGCTAAAATGTGAACTTTGGCAATTCCAAGATATTCTAGAAATGCTTCTTGTAATGTGGCTTGCTCCATTACTGTGTATTCTCTGTCACGCTTGGTAATTAAGTGAATATGAGTACACAGTCAGCTTATTAACTGGGGTGTGGTATTTATCACTACTGACAACTAGTTACTACTTGATATTGTACTGCAGCAACTATTTGGGTGTGTTTCATATGAAGACTTCACTTAACCCTTAAACTCCCATGATCTTTTCAGTAATTCTCCTTACTGTCCACTATAAAATTTATGTGATGTTACTTCTGAGAATTTGGTTTTGGATCAACTAATAATCCCCTAATTGATACTTTTCTTGGTTCTCATCACTTATCTTCTTGATTTTGTATAGATATTTTAAGGAGAAATTCTGTCTTGGTCACTCATCAGAGTTAAAGGTTGAACATGGAGGAAGAGAGCGCAGAAGGAGATAAGGAGCAAAGGCAGGAGAGCTGTTAAAATGATAAAAAGATGAGCAAAACCACTGGTTATCTTTGACAGTGTCTTGGTGTGCAAACACTCACGTAGAAGATTTACTCACTAGCTGTGTTAAACATGTTTAAAAATGACAGCCTTCCTTTTTATACTTACAGGTTTATCACTGAATCCTAACCCAAGCATATCTGCTGCAATGACTCTTCCAAAATTTCTTTTCAGTTTTTCCCAAACCTGAAACATTTCATAATTAGAGCAAAATTTTTCTGAATTAGAGAATCACAAAGATGTCATCAGTTCTTGTTGAAAAACCTTTATTTCAGAACTATTAGATGCAAAAATAACAGCCCTAATGCTAAAATTTTCAGTTGAGCAAGGTGCAATGGAATTATGGCAACCATGTTTTGATATCAAAATATGGCTCAGTTTTCAGTGGTAATATGTTGCTATAACTAATTATCCCTGATGGAACATTGAGTGATTGTTAGGCAAATGAGATTAGCTGCCTAAAGCTGGTTACATACCTGGTGATTTCATTTGCTGATTGCTGCAAATTTAATCACAGGCAAAAATAAATGCTCCCTTACCTGTCAGATATCAGCAATTTTATGTCGCAATTGCTGCGATTAGTGAAAATTGCAATTGCTGCATCGTTGAACACCTGGCAAATTTCACTGATTGCTGTGATCAGCATTTAAAATCACCAAGTATGTTGCCAGCTTTATGTTGGATCTTTTTTCAAAAGATAAAACTAATTATCAAATAAGAAAAGGCAAAAAGAGATACTTGACTGAGAAAAGGTAATATTTTTTACCCTCTTCTGTCTTAAATATAGATCAAGCTTACCTTTGACCAGTCATAATTACTGGTAGGAAATCCATGAATGCAGAGAACCACAATATCGTCATCTTTCTTATAACCTCTAAAATCTGCAAATAATTTTGTTATTCACAAGTTTCTATCAACAAGGGTAAAGTCATATGGACTGATATCACTGCTGTCTCCTGACCTGACCTCCAAAGCATCAAGTGACTTTGAGCATTGCTCCCACCTCCCCCCCTGGGATATCATTCCATCGTAGTGTTAACCACCCCCCCTACTCTCAAAGTTTTTCACCGGGTTTCCAAGGACGTTGTCAGTACCCATGTACTCTTCGGTGATTAAAGAGGGGGATTTAGAGTCTTGACCAAGAAGACAACACAAGAGCCTTGGTCATAGCTTAAACCTAAACCCAACAATCAAAATGTTCCATAGCGCCAAACCATTAGGTCGTGAATAAAGCCCAATAGCGTCTTTCATCCTAACAAACCCTCTTCACGTCTGTGACGATGAAATCGAACTCGTTTGGGATGTCCAGGAAAAATATAAAAGTTATCAATCTTGCTTTTCTTCGGCATGAATTCCATGTATTTTACCCTCAAGTTGGTCTTGATTTTTCCAAACATGATGGGGATTGCCACGCTAGCAGTGACTTGTATACAAAGCTTCTTTCATTCAATTTGAAAGAGGTCTTTGAAAAATATCCCCTTCTAATGCACGACTTACGACGAAACTTATTTCAGCTCAAGGAATTGCAGTCGATTTTTCATTCCAAGCACTCAAACAAAAATCGAGAACCTAACTGAAAAATTATACTCATTTTTCTAATTCCAGCATAAAAATCAGGGTAAATTTTCAACTGACATGCAAAAGACTGCCCATAAAAACATGATATGATCCGAGATCAAAGCACGCTCGCGCGCCACATCTAACCTTGATAAAATATCGCGTTCCCCTCATAATTAAAGTACTGTCCCATTTTCCGCCATTCCTTTAGCCTCTGCGAGAAATTTGGAGCAGGTAAATTGATGAAAGAAGCAATTGCAACCACAGCTATGGCGCAAGCTATTTGAAAATTGGAAATCGCCATGTCATGTAGTCTTGGATATGAAATCTTTCGCGCGCGGCCTGGAACAAAATAAATAACTCTCCCCTCCCCCGCCTTTTTTCAAACGACTTAGTAACCGCGGACTTGACGACGCCAGAAATTCGAGCGAACAAAAATGTCAGCAACGAGTCGATCCGTGAAAAAACCTCCAAATGTAGGATGATTTCTCATCATATTAACACAGATTCGAATTCAGCTGTTGTTTTTTTCTACCTGAAGCCAGATGTAATGTATTGTATTCGTTTTTTTGCGTAGATTCTGGAGAAGAAAATCCACAAGAATCCAAAGTATGATCATATTGGCGCAACCGTTGACACGGGTAGGTTTTTTTAAATGAAGATTATTTTTACAAATTCAGATGATCTGATTTTAAATCTGTTAGATGTGTTGCCCTCCGATGACAATATATTTGTAATTTCTTCGTCTCAGGAGCCAGCATTTCAAGATATGAACAAAAGATCGAAGAAATGCGGAAAAGTAGGTGACCTTCTAGTTTGCATGTCGTACTTGTGGCCAATGAATTTAATTAAATAATTTAAACTTAATTTATTCTCAAGTTTGATCTGATCACTGGCTTCGATCGAAAATGAATTACATCTAACTTGTTTGGCGAGCTATGGGTAAAATAGCTGTTTTATCAGCTGTCAATCTCCAGCCTTCATCTATTATAAAATATTTAGCATTCATTGGCTATATTTTATTTATATATGTCTGTAAACATAATTGTCTAAATCTTCTTGAGAATGGGGCAATTAAAGCTCTGCATTGAGATTTCTATGGAGGGTACAATATTTAACAAGTCGAAAGGCTAGGAAAAACATTCACCGTACAAAAAAAGTTATGGAAGACATTGTGAAATCCATTACTAATTCTGAAATTTAGTTTTACTGATCCTTGACTGTGACAAACTTCTAACATTTCTCCTCATTAAACTATTCAGATTACAAATACAGGAAGGATGAAATTTTCAAGAGAATGAAGGTTTCAACCTTAGCACAGCTGGTATGTTATACGTTTTGTCAATTGTGATTGTAAGCTTGAAGCAGAACAAACAGCTTACCTATTTAATCCTTTAACCCTTTAACTCCCACAAGTGATTGACATGTAACTTCTCCCTATAAAATCCATTCAGCATCTAGCAAAGAGGTAACAAGAATACTTATACTAATCAGGTAGAGGTTGTTTTCTTGATTTAACACCAAATTCATGTAACTTATTTAAAAGGAAATGTGTAGAAGCTAGAAGGGAGAATTAACAATCAGATCTTGGGAGTGAAAGGCTTAACTCCCAGAAGTGATTAACACGTAACTTCTCCCTATAATATTCTTATGCTATCCAGCAAACAGGTATTGAGAATACTTAAAATTATCAAAGTGTAACTTCCTTATTCTATTGCATTATGTCCTGTGCCTTTTATTCAGATAATTTTGTGTTTTATTATTTATTTCTGTAAGATTTGCATATATCAATGTTTTGGGTTTTCATCTAGATCCTTCAAGTTGCAGAAGCAGTAAGCTTGGAACAGGAAAGAAACAGTATATCAACAGCTGGAGGTTTGTTACTTGTTTTATTTTATTATGTAATTATTCAACTGTGCCTTCATGAGCCAGCAAACAGATGGACAGGCAGAAATACAAAGAGATAGACAATCAGACTGATTATAATCACATTTTGGATGAAACAGATTTCATCTAAAGCCTGCAGATGTGATTGAAGTAGAGCTATGATCTTAGCAGGTGTGCTGCATTGCAATTGCAGAAAAGGGGGCTGAAAATTCAGGCTTTGAAACGATTTGAACCTGTGCTTCTTAGATGAGCTTCAAAGCTGCATGAGGCAACTTTTTTAGGGTTCTCTTTTCCCATAAAGGAATTTGATCAATTTTTTAATAAAATACATATTTGACCTGCAGAGCCCATGTGCAAAGATCATTGCTCTACTAGACTGATAGTAAGTAAATCAAGACAGATAGGCAGATAGACATTGATATACATAGACAGATACTCAGGCATGAGGTTGGACAGGCATGCACTGAAAAACACAGACACACCAACAAACACACAGTTTTTTAATGGGAAGACAAGTGGGTTAAGACACTGACATGCTTTATTTTGTTCTTTGACAATTTTTTTTTCAAAATCCAGAGAAAACATTTTTTAAAAAAAAATTAATGATTTGGTGTTGTGCAATTTTTATGAAAGGTGAAAGTGTAATGTCCGATGAAACTATCACAGCTGAAGATAAAGAGACACCAAGAGAGGGTGAAGGTATCCCTCCCTTAAATCTGGAAGATGACGAGGCCAGACCAGACTCCACAGCAAGAAGTAGTGCACGCTCAACTCTACAAAGGTTAGATGCACACCTTGTGTATAATGTTCAACTGATTGTCAATGTGTGTACTTTGAATGTCTTGTCAGACTGCACACCTTAAGAATTCCAGTCTTTATGCTTGTGTGGAAAAATGACTGGAAAAATGAATTCACAAGCTAACTTAATAAATTTTCAGCCAAACCTCAAGTTTGAAAAAAATTCCCCTGTTGTTTTCGTAATAATTTTTTTGTTTTGTTTTGTTTTGTTTTGTTTTTTCCTTGTCAAAAAAAATTCACCATCTTCATAATAATAATATCTTGGGTTTATTCACCAAGTCTCATACATGGTGTTGGAGAAGTTGACATACGAGACAAGGATGAAAAAGAAGACAACAGCTTTGATGAAGAACAGTTATCAGTTCCTGAAGTTGAATCTCTGCCTTATCTTTTGCTGGATGTTAGAGATGAAGATGCCTATAAGCAATGTCATATCATAGGAGGTGTGTACTCATAAGGGTCATGTTAGTATTTTAGATGTCTCTTCTCTCAATGTTGATATCTGAGCAGTGGTGCACCTAACCCTCCCCTAATGCAACAACAGTTAACTAATAACAAGTTAGGGTTGATTTTGGTTTAGGGGAGGGATAGGTGCACAGTTTCTCAGATACTAACATTGATTTGTCTCTTTGAAAAGAGAAAGCTTTCAATTATACATCCTATGGCTGTGTTTTTGGGAGGAGAGTGCTCTGTATGTCATAGCTTGCAAGCAGGCTCTCACATAAGTGCTTTGGCACAAGCTGGTTTGTGTTAAAATGACAGGTCCTGTTGCTTTGCACAAATCATAACAAGGCCTTGATCATCTCTATAACGCACCAGTTTTTGTCAAAATGACAGGTCCTATCACCTCTTACCAATCAGGCTCCGGTTGTTCGGAGAATGGATAAATCTGGATATATCTCTATCCTTTGGATAATGCAATACTTTTTTTTAATACTTATCCTCTGGATTGTGAGTTATCCTCTGGATAATGTTATCTTCCCTCTGAACTACTGGGTCCAGAATGCTAAGTTCGTGGAC